ACTCATGTGTGAGACAATGCAAAAAGGTTTAGAAGAGAAATAATTTGGTTATGAGAATCTTAACCCAATCAATTAATTAATCCCCTGACAGGATTAATTGAGTGGCAATTTAAGGCAGGTAGTTTGTGGCTAGAGGTGGGTCGTTGGGGGCATGGCTTTGGGGTATATATTTTATATCTGGCAAGTGGAGTATCTCTCTCTCTCTCTGCCTACTGATCATCATGTGAGCTGCTTCCCTCTGCTATACTGTTTGGCCCCAAGGAATGGACCTGGCCTTCTGTGGACTGAGACCTCTGAAACTGTGAGCCCTCAAGAAAACATTCCTTCTCTTAAAATTGTTCTTGTCTTTAGGGTTCTGTAGTTTTCATTGTATAAATCTTTCACCTCTTTTGTTAGGTTGATTCCCAAGTATTTTATTTTATTTTTTTTGAGGATATTGTGAATGGGGTGGTTGTCCTCATTTCCATTTCAGAGGTTTTGTCGCTGATATACAGGAATGCCTTTGATTTATGCGTGTTGATTTTATATCCTGCCACTTTGCTGAATTCATTTACTAGCTCTAGAAGTTTCTTTGTAGAACCTTTTGGGTCTGCTAGGTATAGGATCATGTCACTGCAAATAGTGCCAATTTAATTTCTTCTTTTCCTATCTTTATGCCTTTAATTTCTTTTGTCTGTCTAATTGCTCTGGCCAGTGTTTCAAGAACTATGTTGAATAGAAGTGGTGAGAGAGGGCATCCCTGTCTTGTTCCAGAGTTTAGAGGGAATGCCTTCAATTTTTCTCCATTTAGAATGATGCTAGCCTGAGGCTTAGCATAGATAGCTTTTACAATGTTGAGGTAAGTTCCTGTTATCCCTAGTTTTTCTAGTGTTTTGAACATAAAGGGATGCTGTACTTTGTCGAATGCTTTTTCTGCATCTATTGAGATGATCATGTGGTTCTTATCTTTAAGTCTATTGATGTGGTGAATAACATTTATTGATTTCCGTATATTGAACTAGCCTTGCATCCCAGGGATGAATCCTACTTGATCATGGTGCACAATTTTTTGATATGTTTTTGTATCCGATTTGCCAGAATTTTATTGAGGATTTTTGCATCTATGTTCATTAGAGATATTGGTCTGTAGTTATATTTCTTTGAAGTGTCTTTGTCTGTTCGGAATCAGGGTGATGTTGGCCTCGTAGAATAAATTTGGAAGAGCTTCCTCTTTTTCTATTTCCTAAAATAACTTGAAAAGTATTGGTATTAGTTCTTCTTTAAAGGTTTTGTAAAACTCCACTGTATACCCATCCAGTCCTGTGCTTTTCTTGGTTGGTAGTCTTTTGATGGCTTCTTCTATTTCCTCCATTGATATTGGTCTGTTTAAGTTGTGTGTATCCTCCTGACCCAATCTGGGCAAATCATATGACTTAAGAAATTTATCGATGTCTTCACTATCTTCTATTTTATTGGAATATAGGGTTTCAAAATAATTTCTAATTATCTTCTGTATTTCTGTAGTGTCTGTTGTGATATTGCCTTTTTCATCCCATATGCTATTAATTTGAATTCTCTCTCTTCTTCTCTTCATTATCATGGCTAAGGATCTGTCGATCTTATTTATTTTTTCAAAGAACCAACTTTTAGTTTTGTCAATTTTTTCAGTTGTTTCTTTTGTTTCAATTTCATTGATTTCAGCTCTGATTTTAATTATTTCTTGCCTTCTGCTACATTTGCTGTTGTTTTGCTCTTCTTTTTCTAGGGTTTTGAGATGAAGTGTGAGATCATTTATTTGTTGGTTTTTTCTTTTTTTGAGGAATGAACTCCAGGCAATGAATTTCCCTCTTAAAACTGCTTTCATTGTGTCCCATCAAGTATGTTAGTCACAGCAGTGAAAAAGCTGACTAAAACAGAGATGACTAAAACTAGCAATAAAGTCTATGGAGAGGTAGTAAAGTATGTAGGACTAGTGGTAAAGTCTATGGAAAGACCTGCCCACAGGATGTGAAGGTGATTTTGCTGTGACATCTGTCCCCGCACTGATTTCCAGGGTTAACTTGGCAGGTCTCCCCTTCCTCTTTCATTGCTCCATGTGCATCCCTCCTGAAGCTGTATACTCATTCAAAGAGGAGGACCTTCCCTAATAGAGGAGGACTGTTCTTCAGTCAAGGGTTTATAAGTATCTGTACTCCCCTGCTAGAACCTCCAAACAAGCTCTCAAGAAAGACCTGTACTCAGAAGATAACTTAGATGTGAAGTAAGAAAGAGTTAGGACAAACTGAAACTTACATCTTTCTTGAATCTCCATCAACTTTGATGACCTGGTGAAGTATAGGAAAAGATGTCGAAAAGAAATACTAAATATAAATATGAATACTTCACAATTATAAAATGTTAAATTCACAAGAAACAATACAACAATTCCAAAGTTTTATGCACCAATTAACAGGGCTTTAAATATATGAAGCAAAAGTTAAAAGAAATAAAAGAAACATACAGATCCACAGCAATAGTGAGAGATTTGAAGGTACCTCTTTTAGTGGTAGAAAAAGTACATATAAACATGCAAAATCCATAATGGTATAGAAAATTTAAACAACAAAATTAACTTATACCAGGTGGCATATTTAAAATGCTATAAACAGTAAATTAAAAATATGCCTTTTTTTCAAGTATGCATAGAACATTTAAGAAACTTGACTGTGTCATTAACTCAAACGTGAATTTTTCTACATCACATAGGTCTGAAATCATACAGAATATGTTCTCTAAATCCATTGCAATTAAGGTAATCTGGGTAAAACATGGATAACTAGAAAAATCTCTATATTCTTGGAATTTTTTATGAATGACCTGGAAATCAAGGTGAAAATCTCAAAGGAAGTTCAAAATTATTTTAAACTGAATTATATAGAGAACATTACATATGAAAATTTGTACAGCAATGTTTGGTGACACATACCTATAAACCCAGATGCTTGGGAGTATGAGGCAGGAAGATTACAAGTTCAAGACCAGCTTGGGCAACTTACCAAGACCCTGTCTCAAAACAAAAAGTTGTCATATGTAGTGGCACAGTGCTTATGTAACATGCAAAAGACCCTGGGTTCAATCCTCAGTACCACCAAAAGAACAAAAACAAAACAAAACAAAAACCTTATGTAGTTATTTATGGGCAAATATGTAGCTTTAAATACAAATATTTTAAAAGGCTAAAAATCAGCTATCTAACTATAACAAGAGTTTAGGGGAAAAAACAAACTAGACTCAAAGAAATTAGAAGATTGTCAGATTAGTGAAATTGTAAACAAATATATAGCAATGAAGATCAGAGCTACAAAGTTTTTGATAAAATTAATAAAATGGATTAACTCCCAGTTTCAGAGGTCTCAGTCTCTGGTCTGCCAACTTTATTGCTTTGGGCCCTAGGTGAGGTAGAACATCATAGTGGAAGGTCATGGTGGAGGAAAGCTACTCAGTTTATGGCAGCAAGGAAGCAGAGCGAGAGAAGGAGGAGCCAAGGGGTCAAGATGTGATCCTAAAGGGAATACCCACCTCAGTGACCCACCTCCTCCAACCATGCCCCACTGCCTGTAGTTAGCACCCAGTATAGTTGTACATTCAAATTGTTAATCCATCAAATGGCTTAATCCACTAATTAGGTTGTGACTGTTGTAATCTAATCATTTCACCTTCTGCATTAACACAGGAGCTTTGGGGGAACACCTCACATTCAACTATAACACCATTTCATAAGACCAGCATAAGCTTAATAACAAAATATTTCAAAGAAATTAGGATAAAGAAAATCATATGACTATCCTCTAATAAAGTATCTGAAGAGGAATCCATTTCCATGCTTTAGTTTTTATTTTAATCATAACTTCTCTAAATTCAAATCTTCAGCAGTGCTGCCTCCAGGCACATAATGGGTTCAGAGTGGACTGAATGGCAAACAATTTCTCTAGGACTTTGTATGATTCAATATATTCTTCTCGGCTTTACCTCATCTCAGGAAAAGATGGGAACTTATCCTAGGTACCTAATCCTAGATCTTGAGTATGTATAAGATTTACTAGTAGAGGAGAAAAAGGGCCTCAAAGAAAAGAGAAAACAAAAACCAAAATATTTACAGAGGAAGACATGGAGCATGTTAATAAATAATAGTCCATTTTCTACCCTTGTGGATATTACACAAAAAAATGTGGCATTACACAAAAAAAGTTCAGCAAGGGAAAGACTGTAGCTAGACCTGTATTCTTTGACCCTTTCATAGTCTAAAAAGGGAAAGTGATGACTAAAGGTTTCCGAGAAGGGGATGACCATCTTTATAAGTATGTTTTAAGACTGATCTGGGGGCTGGGGTTGTGGCTCAATGGTAGAGTGCTTGCCTAGCACTGGGTTTGATCCTCAGCACCACATAAAAATAAATAAATAAAATAAAGGTTTTCATCCCCTTACAACTGAAAATTAAAAAAATAATAATGAAAGATTTCCTTGAGGTTTCCATCTTAGGTGCTGTAACATTATTAACATGAATGAGAAAGTTGAGACAAGAAGAAATTTGATGACATGTAGAGAGACATGATGGGAACTTGAGAGAGGCCTAATCATTTAGAAGAGTCAGGGACTTAATGTAGCTCTAGGGTCATTGAATAGTTTAGGCTCTCTAGACCTAGGAATCCAAGCTTTGTGAGCCTTGTTAACTGCTGCATCTCTTGTTTATTTATGCTACTGGCTTATCAGTAAGTATACCCACAAATTACAAATTAATTTATTCACTCAGAACCATTTCATGAGTAAGAATAAGATTACAAATTAACTTATTCACTCAGAAGCATTTTATGAGTGACTTTTGTGTTTCAAACATTTTGCAAGGTCTTAACAAAAATATGTAAAAACTATCCCACACATAAGACAGTAAAATTTACTTTCTTGTGAATTATTTTAAATACTTAAGATATATAGGCATATAATATTTTTGAAATGTTAAGTGAATGGATTTTTGTTTTATTCAGTTGAATTAAATGAAGAAAAGCACAAGGAACTAATAGAGAAAAAGGAGATGGAAATATCAGAGTTAAATGCAAAGTTAAGAACTCAAGAAAAGGAAAAACAAAGTGAAATAATCAAACTACAGCTAGAGGTAGGTATTTTAAAGTCTACTGAACTTGAGGATATATTACTTAGTCTAAACAATACTTCAGTTATTGTTCAACACAGTGAGATAAATTTCAGAATTAAAAACACTTCTGTTTTTATGCTCATTCTTCACCAGAGGACCTGCTCAGTCAACATACAACCATCAGCCACACTGCCTGTCAACACTGGAGCTGAAGGTGGACTCTTTAGTTGTTCAGAAGATTCTTCTTTCCAGGGAGGATGTCATTTCCTCTGAGAGCGAGAACACATAACTCAAAGACTGCCAGCATTTTACAGTCAAATATATATGAGCTTCATAAGACTGCCATTCCAGCCTGGGAGAGTGTTTTTAATCCTCAACATTACTCTCTCCAGAAGAAATTGTGGAAGTGTAGTAAACCAACTAGAAATTATTTTTGCTTTATCTGGATAAAAAGAGACAATTTTTTCAGTAAGGTTTTCTGTAAAAACACCTATTTTAGAGGCAAACAAACCTAATTCCTTTTAAAAAAAAAAATGTTAAGGAACTTCTAGTACAGCATCTCATAGACTGAGACTCCAGCTCTTGTTCTGAAGCTAATCACATGTCAGAATCTCAAAGATCCTGATATTTTGACAAAATATCTGTCCTTTAATTTTGTTCTTTATATTTTACCAGTCTCCTTTCTATATTCTTCCATATCATTATGCTTCCCCACTTCAACTCCCATTTTACTTCATGTTGTAAGAATGCAAAGATCTCCGGGTATGGTGGTTCATGCCTTTAATCCCAGCAGCTCCGTAGGCTGAGGCAGGAGAATCACAAGCTCAAGGCCAGCTTCAGCAACTTAGCAAGACCCTTTCTCAAAATAAAAAAGGGATGGGATGTGGCTTAGTGTTTAAGTGTCCCTGGTACAAAAAAGATAGTTCATAGGTCTTAGTTAAAATATACTGCTTATTCTCCAGAAACTGGTATATTCTTGGAGTGCTTGATGAGGTAATATGTGTAATCATATGGCAGAAAGGGGACTTATGTTGATTTTAGAAGTTCTTTGCTGATGCTGCTGGCTTATCACTAAGTATACCCACAAACAATAAAGAGGACGGATGGACAACTGAAATAGAATAGGTCATGTTTCAAGATTCACCATTGACTTTTAAACTATCAGTTGGGAGTCTGTATTTTGTTTATTATCTAGGGTTTGTCATTAGTCTAGTTCAAGTATGCTGTTAACCTATATATGGAACTCTCATCTGTCTTTGTTATAACTACATTTCTCCCCTCAAACCAGAACACAATTTTATGGAGAGTTTAGAAGTCCTCAGAGGCACAACACTAAATTAGAAAGGAAGAATTATAATGCAGTATTGTTCAAAATAAAATTGGTGTGTAAGAATGATCTATGAAAATTTTTAACCTGACTTAGTTTAATTTGAATGAATAAAAATTCAAAGTAAATCAATAAATTACATCCAAATTCTACTACTTAGCTTCAGTTTCTAGAAAAGGACAAGTAAGCTTTCCTCCTATGACTCCTATAACACTACATTTTCTTGACAAAAGTGCCCTTATGAGAATGTAAAAATATTTTTTCTATCTTTAACTTAAACTAGATTCTCAGCTCTGGTTGCATTATAGAATCAGCTGATGCTGACTGGGTATATAAGTAAGTGACAGAGTGCTTGCCTAGCATGCACCAGGCCCTGGTTTCAAGCCACAATACTGAAAAAAAAAAACACCTGATGTTTTGAGAAAAGAGAGTATGCTAGCTATACCCCAGAGTCTCTAAAATAGTGCCCAGGTATTTGATACTTCCTAAAGTTTCACCAAATAATTTTTTAAAATTTTTAAACATTTGTTTTAATTAGTTACACATGACAGTAGAATGCATTTATACACTTTGATGTATCATACATAAATGGATGGAGTTGGAGAATATCATGCTATACGAAATAAACCAATCCCAAAAAGTCAAAGGCTGAATGTTTTCTCTGATATGCGGATGCTAATTCACAATAAGGAGGTGGGCACTAGGGAAGAATAGAGTTCCCCAAATAATTTTAATATGCAGTCAGGTTTAATCTTGTTTGGATTTTCTTTGCTCTTTCTTTAAAATTGTTTCTTAAAAGATTTTTATGTTGTCATATAAAGAATGCACTTAAATTATAGAGTATGTGTCAAAGGATATTGTGAATTATATTTATAGAAATATTTAATTTTAGTTATTGAACTAGAATCTTCTCAATAACTTTCTTTTTAAATTTCATTCAGTTTGATGCCAAACTAGCAAGACTTCAGACCAAATCAAAATCATATACAGATGCTACTGTTTTGCCACAGAGTATCTACAGAAGGGTATGTGAGATTTTTATCCCATGACTATTATTTAAGAAAATAAATTTTCTTAATGGTTTTCTATAAAAGTTACCTAATATTAATCTAAATATATTTAACAGATTTTTTTGTATCCTTATGCCAGTTTTACCCATTAAATCTCACAAAACTGAAGTTATAAGCTTTTCAAAATAGCTTTTTAAATACAAGCTTAAACCAGAGTATAATTTGTTTTTCACTTCTTGTTTTAAATTTTATTATTTCTGAATTGTAATGACAGTTTTTTTTTTCTGCTTCATTTAGAAGCTTCAGCATCTTCAAGAAGAAAAAAACAAGGAGATTGCAATTCTTCGTAATAACATTCGTGATTTAGAACAGCGCCTTTCTGTTGAAAAAGATTCTCACCTTAAGCGTAGACGGTTTTGAGCACAGCTATAAATTCCTTATTACTATTTAATTTATTTAAAGACAATGGAAAATTTATTTCTATGTTCAGTATAAGCATACTACCTAAATAATAAAATTAAAAACAACTTTAAACTTTTTTATTGAGTTTATTTAGACACATCCATATCTTAGCCATCTGCATACTACATTCTTGCTTAACAGTATTATCCATAAAGGAGTTCAAGTTTAGAGGGTTTAATTTCCCTATTAAACCATCATTGACTATGGAAATACTCTAGGAAATCTAAAAGATAGACAACATTCTTTTCTTTCCCATTTCGTCTTTCAAGACAGCCAAATAACTGTATCATACTCTTCAAATTCAGAAGAGTGTGATGCAGTGTTAAAGAAAGAAAATAAGATACAAAGCCTTTATTTGTAGATGATAGTAAAAATCAAGATATGAGTATTAGATACAAAAAAGTAAGCAGATATTAAAAATGTAGTCACATATATTTTCTTAGCAAAATAGTCATGTGTTAAGTATTTCTGGATCTTAAACAGAATCCACCTCTTTCTTTAAAGTTTTAATCAGTTAAAAATGTAAGATTAAAAGATAATATTATTTTGAGAGATAAGTAAAGAAAAGTGGAAAACATGTCTTCGTTGTTCTTCCTCCATTCTAAGTTACTAACTATCCAACAGAAACCCCTAGGTCATAGTTTACGTTTCTGTTCTCATCAATGCAAATAGAATACTGGAAAAAGAAAAAGAAAGACATATTAACCAAAAGCTGCAATCACTTTTCAGTTGCCTCCTAATAAAAATATTGTTTGGGTCAAAATTTCTATGGCATAAAATTTAAAATTTAGAAACCAGTATAGTAGATTTCTCTGTTTGCACATTATCCAATTTCTGGCTTTGGTTCACTAATTATTAATTATATGACTTGTAAAAATGCTGGAAATGAAATTGTGTCTAGACCGGCTTGGGGAGTACATCTTATTTTAAACATTTAGTTTGAATGTCATTTTCACTTTTTTGCCTTATTTTTTCAGCTTCAATTGGTGCCAACTTCTGTGGGATCAAGCTGCTGACTTCTTTGTCAGGCAGCTGGAGGCATTCGTCACTGACAAGATTCAATGACATTCTCCTCTGCCCTAAGTCCCTGTCAGCTACATAAAGATGGGAGGTTTTCAGCACACTGTCAGGTGATTGCAGACTCTCTTTTTTCAAATATCAGATGTCGACAATGGCAGCAACAGCTACTAGAAGCTGCCTGTGGATCTTTGAACAACTTACACTGTAATAGATTTACACATCCCTTTTGGCAGAGTTTCCTTTGTGCAAGTGAAAGTTGTAAACCTTCACTTCCTGCCATCTGTCAGCTCTCTGAGTTACCCTGCCTATACTGGCCCTTGTGCTTTTTATGGTGATGAAGGTCTAGAGGAGCAGGGTTTGAAGGAGTATCTGCTGCTCCTGGTTGCTGATTCTTTGAAAGCTCACTGCTCCCAAGATGCTGATGGTTGTGATGGTGATGTGGCTGCAGAGCCTCAATTGTTTTTTCCACAGTGGGCAAAGATACATTTCTACAGAAGTCTTCATTTTCAAGAGTCTGTAACAAATTTGTAAATCACTTATCAATAAGCTTGCAAATTTAGCAGGAATGCAAAAAAATTATTTGTAGAACTGACATACATGGGATTCCAACTAGTTAATTAGGATAGAGCTGATTTTGTGTTTCTTGCTTTATATTAATGAAAAAGAGTCTAATGTTAGTCTCAATCCCTAGACTTTTTTTATTAAAAGCTTAAAGAGAAAGCCAAACTGTGTATAGCTGAGAAGTAAAATTAAGTAAACTGGCTAAAAGAACTTAAGTTTCCATGAAGTCAAAACAAATATCAAATCCTAAAATCAGTTGACCTACATGGAACCTTTTGCATCTGTGCCAACAATACATCTACTCTAACATTGTTTTCTGAAGCAAATTAGTTTTTCTTTGATAAGTAAAAGATGGCAACAAACTCTGCTCAAAAATTATAGTTTTCCATACTTCGGTGTATGGCAGGAAATGTTTTGACTTAACCAAAGCTTTGCCAATGTGTCTCTGCTATAGTTCTGTCAGGTGAAAATAGCAAGTTACTGCCTGTTTTTCACTGACCATAATCTTCCATTATGCATACTAATTCTTTCATTTTTTGAAAAATTATTGTTTTGTGTACCCACAAACATACTTCAGACCTACAGATATCACAGTGCAATATTAAACCTCAACCTAAAGTTGATTTGTAAAAATTACAAAATGAACTTGAGAACCCAGTGAATCACTAAGTGGTATGACAATGTTATGAAGTTACAAATTCCATTGGATTTTTACCATACATTTACTAAAGGGTGTACTTTCTGGTTATTTATGAATTACTTTTAAATGAGAACTATGTATTTGATTCTAAACTTATAAAGTTTAGTAAATGTTTAAAATAAGTGTTAAATGATTTGACAAACATAAATAGCAAATACTAATCTAGTTTCAGAAAATCTATTAATTACTGACTGATTCTACAGTGCATATTTTTTCACATTTTACTATTTCTGAAATTAGAGTGTATCTTACTGTTGATGGTGTTTTTAACACAGTGTTGTACTTTAATTGGCAGCATTTTTAAAGTATATCAAATAATGTTTATATAATTAATGACATCTAGGAAATAATGAAATAGAAAAGCTCCTATCTCATTTGTCTATGGGATACATATGGTGTATTATTCTTATTTAAATGTTATTTATAAGGTTGAGTTGTGGTAGAGTGCTTGCTTAATATGCAAAAGGCCCTGGGTTTCATCCCAAGCATTCATAAATAAATAAATAAATTTCACAAATTTTAAGTATATTATAGGAATTATTTTTGCTTTTTTTCTATATATCTAGGTATATTTATAACTATCAGACACTTGCACAAATACAAAATACAGAAATGATACCAAAATAGGAGAAATCTACATAGTTGGTATTTATGAATTAGCATAGATTAGACATTGAGTTAATATTTTATTTCCATTACTCAGTCTCCTCATCTTTAAAATATAAAATAACTATCACAGGATTATTATGGTATACGAATGGATTAAAAAGTGACAAATAAGTAATTATCCTGTTGTACTCCTTACCAATTAAATTAAGTTGTTTGTTAAAATGAAAGGTGGTGGCTTTCTTTAGACCTGGGAAAAATCAAAGTACAACTCACAAATCAAATTCAGAATTGTTTTTAAACCTGAGTTCAAATTCTGCCAGTCTGCCCTATCAAGGAAACTTTGTATAGAATTATTTTCTGTTCAATAAGAGAGAAAATAAGTCTAGTTAATATATTATTATTTATTCTTTTTGTTAAAATATTTAAATATAGTGTTTCTCATAACACTTTTAGGTAATGAGTGGAAAACTTACTCCACTTTCTATTAAATTAAATAATTAAAATTTCAGACTGGGAAGAGAGTATAAGTTCTTCACAGAAAAGCTGGTAGTCTTTCATCCTCGATATAAGTAGTTATCTTGCCTCAATTCCTTGACAGGTAATGCCATAGGTAAGCTTTGCTATCACTATGCTCTTATGTGAACATTTTCAGGTTACTACAATAATATTTTTGTATATGTTTCCTAAATTTTTTGAACATTTTTACTCATGCAATATCATTTGATGGTAATTAAAATATGTGACCTACATTGATTGTTGTTGTCTAAAACCCTTCTGGCTAAAGGCAGAATCATGGGTCTAAAAAAGATGTTTGAAAGTATGTGTTATATTTTACGCAACAAAAAAGTGTGCAAAACAGTGTAATTACAAAATTATATTTCTGGTAAACCAGTAAATATGTTAATTAGATAATTGATTATGAAACACTAACTTATTTTGATAAGCTCTTAAAAGATTTCCTCTTTTCTCCCAGTAAAAATAATTGAGAAAAATACCCTGAAAGAGCAGTTTCCACATCTGTCTTCACAGTAAGCAATCTTAATGGCATCTTCTACATATGGGAAAGTTAGGAAGGAGTAAGGCAAACCAAGATGATATACAAGATGGCCACATCTAGAAAAAAAGGACAAACGCAATGTTATTACAATATTTTTTTGTATTGTGATCCTACTCAAGCACATTTTGGCATAGGTATTATAGGTTTCATGGTCTGAAACTTAAAATTCTTTACCTTCAGTAAATTTCTGTGGATTGGATCTACAAATGAACTCCCAGGCTCCATATACCAGATCAGGACTATAGTAAGTTTAATCTTAGCATTTATATATATTATTACTATTATTAAATTATACCAAAATGTATAGTATAGTCATTGTGACTTGGTCAAACATGATTTTATAATTGACATAAATTCTACAGAGCCCAAAGCACTGACTTATAAATTAAGCTGTGCAAACCACATAAGGTTTTGCAACTGGTAGGGCAGTAAAAATTCCAAACCAGAAATCACAGTATAATAAAAAGATCTAGAATTGGCCATTAGCACATTTATTTAAAAATACATCTAATGCAACAAAAATTTCAGCACAATGAAGAACTCAAATTCTCAGAAATTGTGAGGTTCAAATATTTTTCTTGCCACATTTTACCCAGTAAGTATATAGGGTTTTATACAAGCATCAAAGTGTTATATTTTATAACTGTCTAAGTTAGAAGTTTAAAGGCCTAAAAGAAGGAAATGTAATATTGAAAAAATATTTAATAAAAGACACATAGGGCTTAGGCCTAGGCAGTGGGTAGCTTATCAGACTCTGAAGAGCCAGAAGAAAACAAAGTACCCACTGAGAATATTTTTACAGCAGGTATTGTATGCATTGAGTTTCTCTCAAAACATGACTGTCTTATTTGTTCATAAATTCAAATGAATATTTGTACAGATGATGCTTAAATGATTAGCACACTTTACAGTTCAGAAATGCAAATGTGTTGTCTTAAAATTATAAATTAGAGATAAACAAGACTACAAAGTGTGGTTTTTCATATACACAATACTTAGAGTAGAATTGTGCCTGGTCTGCAAATGGATTCTTCTGTTTACTTAATCAGAATGCCAATTCATGGGGAAAATATATAGTCGCTTCAACTTTACCTAGTTGAATGATGAACTCTTTTACATTGCCTTTCCTTGAAGAAAGCCATTTCAAACATATAGAAACCAACCCTTAAATGGGCCTATTTTGAAATTGGGTATTTGAAAATAAAACAAAATGAAGTGTCTTATTGTAAAATCACTATTAAAGCAGAAAGATAACAAGTAGGAATTGTTGCAAAAATCTAGAGGAACAGTCACGGAGGAAGTAACTTGAGGTAGTGATTATGAAGAAGAGATAAATATAACGAGGATTTAGAGTCCATAGAAAGTCACAACTGACCCAACATGGAAGGTTGGATAAAAGTCAGTAACCCATGCCTGTCACCATTTTCTGAAGGGCAGATGGAAGTAAAACTACCACACACGATGGTGTCTGTGATGTCCTACAACATATTAGATGATGGCTAGCAGGAGGAAGGAGTGGAAGCCATAATGCTCGACCACCTCTTTCCCCAAAAGCATCCCTTTCTATAACTCTCACAAAGATTAAAGTAGAAGCAGGTTTTAGGAGAAGATAATTATCTTGAATTTAAGATATTTGTGAACATTTATTAAGTGGATATTCTAGTCTGGAGTTTAGTCGTTGTGCTTGAGTTTTGTATATATTCGGGATCATCAGAATATATGTTATAATTGTAGTCAAGGGATAGATGAAATTGCTCATGGGCATGCAGAATGTGCAGACTGTGAGGAGAAAGAAATCTCAGTCATTCTTAATAGCATAAACATGCACAGAAGAAACACAGGAAGAATGCCAGAGGAAGAATGAGGAGGAGGAAGAATGATATGGGGAAACCAGCAGAGTGTAACATCAAAAGATCAAAAGTTGAAACTGTTTCAAAAACTTAAGATGTGGTTTTAATTTCTAAATGTTAAAAAAAAGATTACATGACAGGAGAACTGAAATATGGCATTGTATTTAACAATAAATATTGTCATGTCTGGTGTAAATAAATACATACAAAGGAAGTAGGTATATTTTAATTTGGGAGGTGTGAGTGTATACAGACCTGTCATATATGAGGAAGTCATCTTTGTATCCATTTAAGAGTGTCCAGACATCTTTTTGGTTTTCTTCTTGTTGATAAACAGGAATATGGTCTGAAACCTTATTTTTAAGATGTATGTATTTTAATTGAGAAGAGATTCCTTGATGATTAACAACAATATAGGAAATATTAGAATATCCTTCTTTTTCCAATTTTATTCGCAGGTCTTCCAATCTAAAATATTTGGGGGAAAAATTCAGAAAACGATTTAATAGGATTAGTAGTTTCTTCTCTCTTTCTTCACACAGTTTTTTTTCTGCAAAACTCTCCTTCTTACTATTTTGACTGACCCATATTTTTCATATTGTTATAAGATTCCAAAACTTTCATTTTTAGAATTATTTAAAACTTGTGCTTAGTTAAAACTGTATGCTAAATGCTTTCACAAACATTAGTCATTTAGTCTTCAGATTAACCTCTTGAACTATTTTTAAAATTTATCTTACAGACACAGAGATTCTGCTCAATAAATATTTGCAGAATAACCCTACAAATATTTTGATATAGATTTGCTAAATGACCCAACACCTTTGATAGAAAATGTAGTGTTTATCTACTCTAGCAAAACACCCTTCTCTGCTGCTTATATTGGTAACTGACCCATTATCAGGAGTATGTTTTAGAACATTTTCATTACACAAACAACACATATTGAGTAAGAAGTTATAAAATGTAGGTTCACAAAAAGGAACAATATTCATAATGCCAAGAAAGTCACTACCAAAAAGTCACTACAAATATTTTGGTGTATATCCTCCTTATCTTCTCTCTTCTAATTTATTAAACACATAAAGTTTTTCCAAAAATATGATTTAATAAACACATTGTTCCCAGTTATGTTTTACTGTATGTACATATGCATGTGTTTATTTAATAGTTTTTGCCTAAAGATATCCTAAGCCAGGGCTTGGACTGTGGCTCAGCAGTAGAGCACTTGCCTTGCATGTGTGAGGCACTGAGTTTGATCTTCAGCACCACATAAAAATAAATCAACAAAATAAAGGTAGTGTGTCCATGTACAACTAAAAACAAATATATGTTTTTAGTTGTACTAGGACACAGTACCTTTATATATA